GCTCGACGAGCGCTCTCAATCATTTACAGAGAGTCACTCTGCGTCAACGAGCTCCTCTTCTTCTATCTTCCTTCCTTCCTCCTTTTTGCTGTCTGCCCTTTTGCTCTCTGCACCGGACCGACGTCGGTGTCCGTGACGGTTTTGTTCTATCCGTCGCTGTTTCACGGAATCGCATGTAGCGGAGAGCGATCCGGGTTCGTTGTTACCTGCCCGGCGAGTCGTGCCGCTCTCGAGAAAACAGGTGGAGAAGCAGGTACGCGAGCGAGAGCCTGATAGACTACGCAGTGGATCGCGAATGAACGGCGTGTCATTCCTCGGGATACGAAGGGCGAGGCGGAAACCGCTGAGGAATTTGGGTGCAAGGTAGCTCGAAACGAGCGGTATACACGTATAAAAACCGGCAGACATTCACCTGTTTCATTAGACAGGAATTAGCGTAATCTTCTACACATGTAACTACCGGCATGTACACGTACCGTTTTTAATGTTGCTTATCCGACAATCTCGGAAGATCAAACTCGGAAGATTAATCAGATGGTTTCAAACGAGAATTTTTTAAGTTTTTATTAATTATTATATGATTGCGAAAGAAATCGTAGAATCTCCTCGACGAAAATGTTACGAAATTGATTAATGATTTCTTATGCTTTAGAATGGAAAATAAATTTTCCATATAAATTTTCCTCGTACTCGATGTATAAAAACATCGAAAATAAAATCGAGAGAATTGCATACGTTCACAAGATCATCACATTATGGTCGATTCTATAATTTCTATAATTTCTTCTATAATTTAATCTATTCGTCAAGTTTTTTCGTAATTACAGTGGACAGTGATGGACAATTTAATTAACTACATTAGCGTCAATTGACATTAGTAGAGGGGCCAGTTCTATCTTTATTAGAGAAGAGGATCGCGAATCCGTTCTCGTCTCTCGAACAATGCGGCTGCTTCGGGAGATGAGAAAGTACGAGCGAGGAGGAGAGCGCCGGCCAGGATCGGGCAAAGGTAAAGAGAGAACGCAAAGAAGAATTGTGGGAAAGGAGAGAAAATTGCAAAACGACATACCGTGCGACCGCACACGCCGAGAGAATAATTCCATGGTGTGCGGCTTAAAGCCGCGCGCAATTTGGCCTCACGCCAACGTTTAAAATGTGTTACAACACAAATATCCTGACGGGAGTAGTTCATGTTATTTTTTTTTTTCGTTTAAAAAAAAGGATACAAAACGCAAAAATTACGCGATTAATTATAACTGTATACAGAATAACTATAAAAGAAAGGGGTAGGTAGGTTCTTTATCTAAATCTCACACTGTTAGAAATGTAACCACGCTTCCTTTACATGTAAATGAAGCTCGTGGTTGTGAACAAAATTCAAAGTAATGAATGATTTAACTAAATATTAAGTTACAGTCGTTATTTAAATGTAATGAACGTGTACATTAAATTTGTGAAATTTAATGTATTTTTAATAGAATTTCATAAATTTTCATGAAAAATATATTAAAATTACGTACATGTACACAAATATATACTTTTTAATTATAAATACATTAAATTTAATGTAATATCATGAGATTAAGTTCAAATTGTGTAACTTAAAAGTTAATGAAATTTAAGAACATTTCTAACAGTGCAGGAACAAAAACTTCCTTGGAAGAACTCTGTTCCTTGTTGCTTTATATTTTTATATATTAGGTGTTGGAATTAATTCGTAGCGTTTTACAAGTGATGGGAAGTACTTTCATTAATGTATTTTTTAATGCTCATGTGAAATAAATAACATTCTTTCATTAAAAAACGCTACGAATTAATTCCAACACCTAATATTTATATATTATATTAAATATTATATTCCCTGAAAATCATTTGAAAGCCAGCGCAAAATGTTGCTCGTAATTATCGGCTTTACGCACGATTCTTGTTCGTTTCGCGCGTACACGCGATCCTGCTTGCAAAGTGTGTTAATATGTGATTTACACGAGAAGATGGAATTATCGTCGCCGTCGATACCATCAGCCAAGAGACGTGGAAACGAGTCGTTGCGGTTAACACGTGAATACGATGCCACACGCTGCCACTTTGCGGGGAAAATCTCAGAGGTTTGACGTTCTTCGCAGAATGGAATCTCCAGAGTGGAGGAGGCAAGCAAGCCAGAACGTGCGGATATTAAAGCCGAAACGCGCGCGTCTCATATTCCCGAATGGAGAACTAAAAAAGCTGATCCCACAAATCGGATCGCGACTGAACAGGACACCAGTGTTTCCTCCTCCTCCTCCTCCTCCTCCTCGCAGGATATCTTCGCGGATTGATCGACAAGCTTAGGACAAAATATCGTGTTACAGTACCACACATTTACGAGGGATCATCTTTATGAACGCGAGAATGTCAATTTGAGAACTCCATGTATTTAAAAATTTGAAACTGATAGATTTCCAGAGACGTCAGCATTGTCAGCGTTTAAGTGTAATAAATTTACTTTTCATTAATTTTATTTCAGCCGTATTTTTGTGTTTTATTTACGTTTATAATATTTGATATATATTGTATAATGATGCTCTTTTATGATATTTTGAAAAATAAATTTTATCAACGTAGGCATGTTAGAATGAAAGTATGACTAGATTAATATTTTTATTCTGCAAACTTTGTGTTAAATTTTTTTTTAAACGCATATTTTAAATATTAATCTGCAATTAAAATAAAATATTTCATTGTATGTTTAAAATATAGCATGACATCTATTTAATCACTACAACTATGCAGAGAGAACGAATGTGTGGAAAACAGAAGCTCTATACCTGAAGAAAAAAACAAATATTTATATCCAAGAAGAAAAAGAGCCCTCGAATGTCCTCGAGAATGTATTCCTGCCGTTGATACAACACACCTGCCGCGGATCCGTAGATTGTATCTTAGATGTACTTATCGCGATTAAACACGCGTGCATCATTGTCGGTATTGGCGAGTAAGCGACCAAACGAATTTCAAAGAGTTTCATGCTTAAGTTCGATTTTCGTTGCGCTCTCGCTACTTTCTAACTTAACTTTAATGTTCCCCAGCTATGCAAGCGGGATTGTCCTCCTGTAAAGGACAAACCCGTAAACTCGTCTCGACACGAATCTTAATAATGCGACCTTGAATACCAGAGCCTTCGTGTTACATTCTCGTCATCGGGTCTCGATTCACTGACAATGCATCCGTCCGACTTGTTAGGATCGACAGGAATGTCGTGAAACGTGATAAAACAAAAGCCATTTTCGCTTCCAAACTGACTTTATGATATACACGTGACATCCTCAGAATGTAGCGCGTTGTAAGCTAAATGAACGGCCTGTTAGTCTAATAATGATAATAATGATGATGGAGGGAGATAGAACACGTGGTGGAGACACGCGCGTGTTTGTTCGATCGAAAAAAAAAATAGGTCGTATAAGCAACGTTAGGCGGAGATACGAAACGACCGAAACGACATGACCGAATTTTTACGGCGATGACGTAAGGCACAGACTAATCTCGTTCGTGACCTCATTATTACGTTCCTTTTTTTTTTCTTCTTTCTTTATTTCGCGAGTTACGTAGGGCTGACAGCACGCTATCTTATTGAACTTGGTCGGCTGAAAGTAGATGGAGATCGCGATGATGTCGCGACTTTTCTGCCATGGCATGAGATAATAAAGTCCTACACACAATCCGACTAGTCCGACTAGTCCTACAGTCAAAAGTTTAGTTGATTTTTTAAATGGCATGTAAATAGTTGCGACAGTCTTGCAATAATTCCTGCCTATTTTCCTGTTATTCTAAATAATGTATGTCAAGAAAAGACTTTTAATAGCAGCTACCGCACCGTTTCTAAATTATCGAATCTTATCGATGTAAAATATAATGTCGAATTTATATCAGTACGTGAGTATATCGACCAGATTTTTCACAGCTGCAGCTTGGCGGTCTAAAAATGTCTTTCACCAGAAATTAGAATGCTTGTAATATGATGTACTAAACTGGGCCATTGATTTTTGAGCGTGGAAATTAATTATTATTGATGAAAAGAATAGCTACATCTACACCGAATTTTACCTCCGAATGAAATGAAGATTAACACGATGGATGTCATTATTGAAAAAGTAGACGAGACGCATCTATTTCAGTACTATAATTTAATATACTTATAATAAATTATAAGTGTAATAATAAAAAAAAAGGTTAACGAGAGAGAGTTATTCCACAATTCTTATTAGTGTATATTAACTAAAACGATTTTTTATTCTCCATCTGTACATTCATCTTCATTTGATTAGAAATCGAAATGAGAATTGAGAGGCCGCAATCGAACGATACGATTTCGACGCGAACGTCGCGTCGCGCTTTTCAACATTCGAGCGGAACGCGCTAACGGAACATCCATTAATAAATTTCTCAATAAGAATTGATTGACGCACAAAAAGCGGCTCCCTTGTGTTCCGCGCACAAAAGAGCAGAAAAGACGCAATGATACGCGAGGCTCCGTCACGCGTGTTCGCGCGCTAACGAAACATTTTTACGTTCTCTCACGTATCATGGAACGGCCGGCAGACGTTTGTGACATTTCAGCCTGACGAATGCGGAAAGCGTGACAGATGATCCAGGAGAGGAAAAAGAAAAGGGAATAGGAAATGGGAAAATGTAGACCTAGACGGAATTTTCACGTTCGTGCATTTATGCGGTACAGAAGTCTGGACTCACGAAATTATACCGGTTTCGGTATGCCGAGAGGAGCTCGAGTCTCGAGACGAAGAGCAGAGCGAGCGAAACGGAGAAAGAGAAAGAGTGAGAGATTTCCGCGCGTCTATTCGCGGCAATTTGGCGAAAGGAATCGAAAACGTGCGCTGCCTCGGGAAAGAGATAGTGATAGCTTCAAACAGATAGAGGTGAGGAAGGAGGAAGAAAGAGAGGAGCAGCGAAAGGGCTACGGAGCCGTCCCTGGTAAGCGAAACCTGCCAGGCGGGCAGCTAACTCACCTCGTGCCATATTCCGACAGGCTATACCGTCGTTTTCGACGACGACGACGACGACGACGACGACGACGACGACGCCGACGCCGACGACGAAGAAGAAAAGAAGACGAGATCGCACGTAAATCCTTCCGTGAAAAGATAGAAAAATCCTTATCCGACTTCTTTACGATGACAGAGCTCCTCTTCTTGCTTTTTTTCTTTTCACGACTATCTGTAGGCAGCACTCGCGCACACGTCTCTCTTTTCAAATTTTCAAACTCACATCACATACACATACACTTACACATCACACACACACATACATGCGCACGCAAACGTAAAACACACACTCACGGGATTCGTGAGATGCGCGCGCGGGAGATACGCGCGCACGTGAGAGGATGCTTGAACCAACAACCAGCCAACCAAGCAACCAACCGACCGACTAACCAGCCAGCCAGCCAGCCAACGGGGCTGCCCGCATACCGAACGCACGCCGCACACACGCGCAGACTCGACAACGGGTTTCTCACGGGGCGAAACGTCAACCGACTCCGACTCGCCACTCGGTTCGCGAGAGCGGCGCAGAGCGGCAGCTGCTGGTTCCCGTAGCCGCTGCACGTTCACACCGATTCACACGCGAACCGAACCGGCCGAGCGACCAGTACGTACTGACTCGACTGACTGAACCGACTCGCTGACGACCGTTTCGCGATGGCGGGGACCCACCGTAGGAACTCTCGACAGTCTCGACTCGTACTCTATTCGGTTTCTGTTAATGTAGATTTACTTCAATTTCGATTCAACTGACGCTTTATTATCTTTCTTTTATTAGGCCACAAATATATAAGAGATTAAGTACCGGGCATTGTAAATACTCGATTTCTGTTAATGTAGATTTATTTCAATTTCGATTCAATTGATGTTTTATTATCTTTCTTTTATTAGGCTCGGTTCCACAAATATATAAGAGATTAACTAACGGGCATTGTAAAAAGATAAATTGTAAGTTAAATCGAGATTAGAGATTAACTTTAATCTCGATTTAATTTATAATTTATCTTTTTACAACGTTCGTTTTTATTCCACTGTATAGTTGTTGAATTTTAATTATTAAATACTAACGTATTTCAGTTTTAAATTTAACTCTTCCTTGGTTTAACTCTTCATCTTTTTCTAGTTCTAAGAATTCGAAAAAGATAAATAGTAAGAATTAAACCGAGATTAATTAAAGTTCATTTACATTGATGAAAATATGGCACGAGTCTCATAAATCGTACTCAGAATCAAGTAAAATCAAAACTTATTTTTTTTAAATCGAGCCTTTTTTTTATCAATGATCGCTTTGCGACAGGGTGTCGATAGCATTTCGTCAATGGATATGAATCAACCGTAACTTTATTTTGTAATATAATCGCTTTTTTTTACAGCAGAATGTCTTGTTTTTTAGTGAAGTATAATGAATACACGTAAACGATAATATAATGCGTATGGATATTTATCGTAATCGTACATCAATCAAAAATATTAAAATTATATATATATATATATATTTACAACATACATCTTTTTTTTCTTTTTACCTTATGTCTTAGAGCTAACCGACGATTGGGTGCTTCTTTTCGAGTTCACATGTTTTACATGTGGGCGTAATAGCATTGGATCTTTTTTTTATCACGCATATTCCTCTATAAACAAGTTGTATGCCGTATGCTTCTCAATTATCACGCTACAAATTCCTAATTTGTATTACAAGACATATAACGCTTAATAATAGTTTTTATCCTACGATCAAGTTAAACCAACAAAGATACAGTGCACATCGGTTTGCAAGTTAAAGAAAGCCGTTGTTGCTTATTTATGCTCGGTATCTATAAAACATGAAAACCGTATTATAGAACGGATCGTCAAACCGTGCTCTTCGAATATAACGCGAATTCTGCCAATACTCCAATATATATCTCATTTACGTACAACATATGTATATGTATATTTATGTATACACGTGTTTTATATATATATATATATATATATATAAACACACACATATACATATATATATATATACATACATACATACATGTGTATAAAATAATTACGAAATCCGTGCACCAAAAAGCATTCATTCCCAATGGATTTCAACGTTCGGTCGTTCCTTTATTGAGAATGTACAAATAACATACCTTGCTACAAGATTACAAGTATCAGAATATCTGAAAGCAAAAGGGATGATTGACTGTACTGTGAATACACTCTCGATCGATGAAGCCGAGAAAGCGAGTTCGTTAAATAGCGGCAATCTATATTTTCCATTCCGGGTTCCGTTCATGCTCCTAAGAAACGTCATAAAGATATTACGCGGTAATGAACTGTGTTGTGAATATCATCATATTGCAATCTACTTAATTAATAATTAGCTCGATATTTTAACAAAATTTACACGAAAAAATGACATCGACGGAGCTACAGTCGATTTCCTGTGTTCAAAGATTTTATAGTTTAGATTTTTCTTCTTCAACTGTTTTTCCTCTCTTATTCCGATTATTTGAATTTCTGCTCTTGAAAGGACCATAGTATACGATTTATTTATATGAAAATGTACTTGTGCATCCACTATTCTCGCCCTCGTCAAGATTGAGACATTATAGATACGTTATAGTTTAAATAAAAACAAAAGACATGTATTTTATAATACAAGTGCTTCTGTGCGTACAAAAGGGATGAAACGAATCGATTTTTATGTTTTGCGTTGAAATGATAATAAATGTCGATTCTAAATGTTTCGCTAAGTATGTAAGAACACTCATAAAAAGTACATGTCTCTTATTTGTATCTTTACCACAACATATCTACCAAAACTCATCAAGATTGGGAAGGCAGAGAGAGAATATTTGCAAGTGTTAATTTCTTCGTTAATCATATATTTGAAGATTTATTTTATTTCTATCACAATATGAATATTCTTCCAATTTAAATTTTTTATATACAAGATGCCAAAACAAGGTGTCAAATTCGGATCTTTCGTTTGACAGATTTGCTGTTCTATTAAACTATTTAGCATTTCTTGTTTCTAAACTACAGCCATGAAAATAATTCTTGGGACATGTGCATCATTACATCATTGACAATTTATATTTGGACAACTAATTGTGAAACTATCAAAGCCGTAAAACACACACACACACAACATGCGTGGAATTATAATTTCAATATCAAAAATTTAAAGAAAATATTGATATAATAATGCACTGTCGGGAAAATTAGTTCGACTATAATATTCTCCATTACTCACAAATTACCATATGACGCGATTATATGCTCACAGGTTGTGAGAAAGTAAATGAAAGCCGAAACGCGCAACATTTTCGTCCTATGCACGAAGAATTGAGTTTAAAGAGTAGAGGAAGAATAGTCGATTCCAATGATTTGAGAGCATAAGAAATTGACTGTACATAGAGTACATTGAAGAGGATACATGGACGAAGAACCAAGAAGAGAGATTCAAAAAGATGAAGAAATAAAGATCGCGAAACGAGTAGTAATGATTATACCATTGATATTTTCTATCTATCGTCTAAAACACAGACAAATCTGAATCTAAATAAGAAAAACTGCAAATTGAACGAGTGAGTAGCGTGTATTCCGTCAAGACTGAGAAAAAAGGGGCAGAAGAAAGAGGGAGGATATAAGTTTATAATTTTTGACAGCCAGTTACCTCAAATATCTCTTACGTTCATTAACGTAAGAGATAAATAAGGATAAAATTAAAGGTAATATTGGAATAACAGTATTGCAGATTGGTGGTTAGCTCATAGACACTTGTCCATTGGAGAGTAGTCTCTCAACGGCAGCGTTTATATCTCCGAACGTTGCAATTAACGCTGAAAAATAAAAAAAGGGATATTACATATCTTAGGCAGTAATTAAATGCAAAATATTTGAATAATATATGTTATGTTTTAAAAAATATTAAATATTCGTAATATCAGACATTAATTTAATTTCAACATTAAAACATGACATGACTGTTTGTGTGATCGAATCATGTCAGAGAAATAATGTATATTGATAAAGTTGTTCATTTTTTTAATGTAGTTCTTAAATAAAATAAAAGCAAGCAAGTAAAAAAATTAGATAGAAAAGAAAAACTGCGTTGTCAGGATGATTCTTACCTTGTAAATTAGCATCTCTATTAAGAAAACCCATAGCCGTAAGTTGCTCTAACTGTGCTCTATAACGTTCCTCTGGTGGAGGCACAGGTTGACCATCAACTTCTACACCTTGATTTAATGCCATTGCAGAAACCTGATACATATAAATGAAATATGATTTGGCATATATAAATATACTATACAAATATGTCATACCTATGCAAGATTAAGAACGTTACATAATATAAAAATGTCAAATAATTATGTCAAATAAATATGAAGAATGTCTCTTATTATATCAAATTGCTACAATTATACATATTTTTTAAATGCTCATTAAAGACTGTATTGTTTTGAAAGAGTTTTTGAGGATACTCTACTCTGAAATCGTTTCTCGAGAAGAAAATTGAATTATTTTAGAAATTAAATCATTGTTCTCTTACCATACGTGCCATGAACTGGGAAAATGCGTCTTGCTGATTGCTGTCCGATGATTGGGTAGTTGGTACACTGGAATTGGTGCCAGTCGTGTTCGGTGTTGTGGGTGCAGGTGGAATCGTAAGGCCCATACTAAAACACATACGTTTGCACTTATTTAATCATGCGTTATTAAAATATTAATTATAAAATGTAAAGCAAATGAATATAGCGAATATAAACGTAAACTTACTTTCTATATAAAGAACTTACTTCTCCACGAGTTCAGGAGCGACGGTACGCAATTGCTCCATACCCCGCTGAATTTGCATAATAGCAGCTAAAGCGTCAGGGTTGGGGAAGACGCTCCGTATCTGCCGGGGTTGCACTCGCATTTGCTCTTGCATCTGCGGATTACCACGGAGAAACGGATTTGCTGCAATTATCCGACTGGCCATCGCTGGATCAGCCGCCATTGCTTCCAATATGGATCTCGTATATGGAGCGTTCAGCATGTTTCGCATTAACTGCGGATTCTCTATCATCTGTGCCGTGAGACTCTGCATACCTGGTGAATCTAGCAGACCTCTGCCTTGATTCTGTTGTACCGTACCACTGTCATTCTGGCTTTGATTCCATGGGTTCGGCAGCGGATCCCGATTTTCCTGACCCTGTTGTGGATTTTGCGAGTCCTGATTGGAACTGTTTTCCACTAGAGCGGCGAAAGGATTGCGACCATTCGTTGCGGCTGCTAACATTGGCTCCTGAATATCACGATACATACGACGTAGAGCGCTATAACCCCCAGGTATGCTTTCTAGATTAGACAAAGCTCGATCGTGCGAACGCATCAGTTCTTGCAGCATTGATGGGTTACGTGCCAATTCCATCGTTTGTCTGAAAATTAATTTTCGTAAATAATATTGTGCAATGTTGCACAATTGACAAATATATAGTTTCCAAATTGTAGTTTAAAATATTGACTCTGCAATTACTTAAAGAAATAATAATTGAAAAACTTAAAAATAAATGAAAAACTTAAAGATATAAATGAAAAACATTTCAAAGTTAAGAAATATATAGCTGGAAAAATTGTAATTGGTCAATTGTAATTGGTTTTCAATTCAATGGAGAAAAGAAATTTGATTAGAAATAAATCTTTGATTTGAAATTAATCTTTAAATACTGCGCAATATATGATGTGATTCATAAATCAACTTCGAGAGGTTGAGAAAGGTTAAGAAAGAAATATGTAGTTTGACTATTGTATGCAAATTAGCTTTTAAATAAATTCTAATTACCGTTTAAGATTACCTACCGTAAAAGTTCAGGGTTATTCAACATGTGACTGATTTCTGGGTTACGTTGCATCAATTCTTGCATTTGGGGATTGGCGGTGACCAAATTGCGCATATTCTCAGGATCATTCATTAAACTCTGAACCAATGGATTATCGAGCACTTGTCGCATCGTTTCTGGATTTGAGAGTAATTCCCGTTGCATGCGTTGCTGTAAGTCTATGAAATTAGCCGAGCCTAAGCCAAGGGACTCTAATCCCATCAATCCCCCTAAGCTCCCCAAACCAAATGGACTGGCGTTAACATTAGCTGTAATTTATACATAATTGTCAATGTAAATATTATTATACTTCTTCGTGCAATATAAATATTTATGTTTGCAAATTTAAAACTAAAATATTCTCAATTAAATAATCCTTTTTAATTATAGATATTAAATTACATTGTAATTCTAAATACAAAAGATCTAATCTAAGATATATTGTATTTAAAAATTTTTTAAGTTATAAATTAAATTGTTTTTGCATATTTTTTAGAAATTTTTTTATATACGTTATAAAGTATTCACATGTCATCTGCAGCTCACAAAAATTATGTTTTTTATTCTGATAGTCATCTGCATGCAGAGATACATTAATAATAAGAATGTTTAGAGAACACAGAGTACTCCATGACCCATACATTGTTAAATGTTCCATAGTATCGCAGCTTAATTTTATCGTTGTATTCGATCAAAATTCAAGTTGTGCTCAGTAGAATACCTTGTGGTCTCGAGGCCGAGTTGGACTCCTGATTCTGCGTAGTTGCGGTGCGTGGAGCCTTAATCACCAGATGCACCGCCAGGCCGTCCTTGATGTTGTGAGTACTGAGGGTCTCATGATCCTTCATGATCTTGCCGGCGAAGATTAGGCACAGCTGATCGGCCTGTGCGTTAAACTTCTTGGAGACTGCCTCCTTAAACTGCCGGCGTGACCGAATGAAGAGGGAAGGGGGAGGAGAGGAGGGGAAGGAGAGAAAAAGAAACAAACACAAGATTAGAGATGCCGAACTAACCAAATCAGTTTGACAGCTGATGCTTGGCGTAATGCCAAGGAGGCGGCGATTAGACCGCGAACGGCAGAGAGAAGGCTCGCTGTCGCCATCGTCATTGCCCCGCACTTACTTCTTTTATCGTCGCATTCTCCTCGATCTCGACGGTCTGCTTTTCCTTCGGGGTTTTCACATTGACGGTGATCTTTTTCGGACCACCCTCCTGCTGGCCTTCTGCCATCTTGGATCGGTAGATGACTCGTTACTTTCGACGCTCGCGCGATACTCGGTACGCGGTACGTGGTACGCTCGCTCGCGCTCGATCTATCCGTCTCTCTTTGTTCTTTCCGCTTCTCTGTCTCTCTCCCTCGATCTCACGACCGCGGAATTGCGCACCGACGACACCGCGACACGATAGGACACGACACGACACGACACGACGCGACGACGACGACGACGACGACACTCCCTCGCTCTCGCCCTCGCTTTCGCCACGCGATGCGATCCGCTAATCCGTTCAGTCCGTTCACCGTTGCTTGCGCCCGACGCAACGGCGAGGAACTATTACAGAATATATAGTAGCGAAAAGTGAAACTCTCCCGATTCCACTAATTTCTAGCTCCAGCGTGTACGAAATTCAACTGCGCATGCGCGAGTTAAAGCTCATGGCACATGTATGTATACATATTGGGTCATCTAAAAAGTATTCGCGGTTTTTTGTCACTAGATGTGTGTTGATGGTCATATATCTAGTGACAAAGTACCGCGGATACTTTTTAGATGACCCAATATATTATTGTACATACAAAAATGTAAAGAGGGGAGTACAAACTATTGTATAAGGGGCTCCGTACAATAAAAGAAATAGGGAAAGTTATGCTGCATGTGAAAGCAGCCAAATGCATAAAAAAATGTACCAATCAAATTGTTTGTTTCTTTCCTTTCCATGAAATAAAGAACTCTGATTGGTTGAATTTCTTATGCTTTATATAAGAGTCTGTGCTATGCATTAGGGACTCCGCACAATAAAAGGAACAGAGAATAGAGAACAGAGAATAAGAATTTTAACCTATCAAAAGTAATGCATTGTGGAATACACAGTTTCTGATAGATTAAAATTCTTATTTTCTGTTCTCTGTTCCTTTTATTGTGCGGAACCCCTAAAAATTTGAACCTATCAGAAATCATGTATTGTGGAATACACAGTTTCTGATAGGTTAAAATTCTCATTCTTTGTTTTCTGTTTCCTGTTCGTTTTAGGCTAATTCTACAAATTCTGTGCTCTTTGTTTCTTGTTTCTTGCTGTTTGTCTCTTGTTGACCAAAAAGGCGAGAGACAAACAGAGACAAGCAACAGGAAACAGGAAACAAAGAGTACATTGTAGAATTAGCTTTATTGTACGGAGCCTATAATTTATCAAATTATATCAGCTACTACACCTTAATGTGTCTTAATGCTAACGCTAGATGCTCATTTTAGACGTTAAAATAAGTCGCGTGATTGACGCTAAAAATTAGTGTTGAGTGTCAACATAAAAGATATTTTTATTCTAGTTGAAACAATTTGATTGACGCAAATTACGCTGCATGTGAAAGCAGCCTTACGGCTGCTCTCTAATGCTATGCAGTTTATGTCATTATGTGGGTAGCTCTTAAATTTAAATGATTTTAATTGATAATTAAGGGAGCTTTCCAGCAAGAAACACAAATTGATACAAGAGTCATTCTGTCCTTGTTAAATAATCAGTAAGAAACAAAAAAAGACGCAATGACTCTTAACGATTTGTGCCTCTGTTGGAAAGTTTCCTAAGGCTACGTTCCAAAACTTCCTCTCCAAGGAAAATTTCACTCGAATATAGTACACGTTACGTATACTATAGCACATAGAGGAAGTTTTGGAACGTAGCTTAAGTAGCCCTTGTACTACCTCAACAGAAAAAAGAATTCATAGGCCGGTATTTATAGTCGATTCTTATTTCAAAACCGTCTTAAGTACGGTTTTAAAATGTCACAAACCAAGAGGGCCGCATTAGCGACTTAAGATATTACTTAAGATGATCTTAAAATAAGAACTATGAATACAGGCCATGAGGTGAAACATAGCGCACAATAGCAATAACCAATCAAATGTTCCCCAATATGTACTTTCCTACGTATAATAGATCTGGTTATACTGGAACAGCTAATGAAATGTTTTTCAAATTCAAATTGCGTATCCACGCAAGTGCTTCACCTTATTAATTTCATCATGATTTTATGTTACTTATCAAATATTAAACAAGAACAAATAATGACTGCGTTCAACAGAGAAAACTAATCAGTTAGCGCTTAGTAATTCTTTAATATGATTGGTTGGATGATTCCTAAACTCAGCGAAGTCTAAAGGTAAGAATCAATTATATTAAAGAATCACAACGCAGCCAATGCTCATGAGAGTCGTGATGTGAGCGAACCAGGAAGTTGTGACTTGTGATTATTGTGAGTTATGAGAGTCAGGTAGAACGCACCTGATGTCTTTGGTTCTGATCGTATTTTCGATTTCTCAAATTAAAGCCAATTGAAGAAGAAAAATAAAATTACATACAAATTGATATAAATGTCGTGACTGTGACTCGTGACGCTCGTGACTCGTTGAAAATTCATGTCGCTATAGGAAAAAAATCCTATAAAAAAAATCGTCAAGAGAATCAACAAACTCCAAACATGGTAAGAGAACCGAAGAAATTGATGATTTTACCAGAGTAACCAGGGAAACGGCAAATATATTGCCAAAATTTGTTTCCCAAATGAAGAATAATTGAGGTTAACAATTTAGCATGACACTGGATGACTTTTCAGTTTCAGTTCGGGTTTAACATGTTCCCGGAGATTCCGCGGCCCTTCAACACTCAGTACAAATGCTTCTCAGTGTCGATGTTGCCTGGAACTTATCGTCAGGATGTCGAACGCGGCGGCAAAAGTGAGTACCAACTGGTAATTAGACAATAACAGGAAGAACATTTTGCATTTTGATCTGTTTTTTTTTTTAGTAATCATGCCACCATCTGCCTTGGAGCAGCTTACAAGGCTCAATATTATTTATCCAATGTTATTCAAACTAACCAACAAGAAAACAAATAGAATTACTCACTGTGGTGTACTGGAATTTATCGCTGATGAAGGAAAAGTTTATTTGCCTTATTGGGTTAGTGAAGAAAATCTATCATATTTATAATAATAGATGAATAAATTATTTATGTTTTTTCTCATAGATGATGCATAATCTTTTGCTGGAGGAAGGCGAATTACTGAATGTAGAGAGTGTATCATTACCAGTTGCAACATTCTCTCGTTTTCAGCCACAGTCAGAGGATTTTCTAGATATCACAAATCCAAAGGCTGTATTGGAGAACGGCCTGCGCAGCTTTGCCTGTCTAACTACAGGCGATGTGATTGCAATCAAATATAATCAAAAGATTTACGAGATGTGTGTACTAGAAACCAGACCTGGTCCAGCAGTTAGTATCATTGAGTGTGACATGAATGTAGAGTTTGCTCCACCAGTAGGCTATAAAGAACCAGTACGAAAGCCAAAGAAGGAAGAAGATGAGACAGAGCATCTGGCCGATTTGATGCCGGCGCAGACTGGCTTTGTACCTTTTCAGGGTGAAGGTGTCCGGCTGGATGGTAAAAAACGCAAAGACATGCCCAAGCAGGAAACTGTATCTACCAAGCCGACCTATGTTCGCGGAATACCCGATTATGATTATCAAATAGGTACTCTTAGGTTCCTGCGAAATATAAAGCCAGTGAATAATAAGGAGGTAAGAATTTTAGTTAGAGTTCTTTATAACATATAGAATTATAAATAAAATTTTGTCTCGAACTTTGTCGTGTAATGCAAAGCTATGACTTTAATTCATGGCAACTTCACATGGCATTACACGTGATTGTATTGTGATTAATATATTTTTATATTCTTTTAGACAAAGGATCCAGACGAGTTTAAGGCGTTTACTGGCGAAGGGTTTACACTTCTAAGAAAATCCAGAAAATAATAGAATAACGAGCAATTATTTATTTTTAATTTATAAATTTATGAGAGAGAATGAATCAAGAATTTTGCCAGAATGAATGTTGAATTATCCGAATTACTATTTTAATAAGATACACGTATGTTTTTATTTGTTCTGTTATATATTTGTCATAAGCAGAAAAAAACATTGTTTCGTCTTTCATATTATGTCTTTCTAGGGAAATAAAGAAATTAAATAATAAACTGTGTATCAAACGCTATATAGGCGATAATTCTATAGAATTTTATATAGATATTATCAAGAGCAACTTTTTTCAAAGTGATTTGTCCATCAATTTACTTTTACAGAGAGAACTTATTTTATATATAATAGTGATATAATTTTATTTACAAATATACGAATTACGTTTAAATGCTAATTAATTAATTAATTAATTAATTAATCTGAGACAAATTAAAAGTATTTGACAAATATTGAATATTCATGCACATAATTGCATTCTTAATAAATTTCGGGCTATAATATAATAGATACATTCTGAAAATTCTGATGGTTCTAACTTTTCTTATATTCAATTCTTTCCACTTTAACTTCATCTCCGACCAGTTGATACACATATGTAACCACCGTTGAACTTTGAATGTCCATCAATACGAATGATGGTATAACTGACCTAAAAACAAATTATTATTAAAAAAGAATTCCCATAGAATTTTCTTATTACACTAATCATTGTAAATGTGTTCTCTGTTTTTCAGAGAAAATAATTTATACATTAACGATTAAAATATTGTATCAAATAATTAATTTAAAAATAGATTTGTAATAAAAAAAAAAGAATATTTGTTAACTGAATCATTGAAAATATATTTATTTTCAAAAATATATTCATATACTTTAATATTTTTTTATATTATTTTTAGATCTTTTTGAAAAGAAACTTACGTATCTAGAGGATTGTAAGCTCCAGTAGCTGATCCAGGATTGATATAGAATTTATTTTCATGCTCATAGGCTTCAAATTTATGTGTGTGTCCAGATATGAGAATATCGACATCTAATTGTCTCTGTATCAAAGCTAAAGATTCTGGATCACCCCATGGAACCACTTGATGCCCATGAGAAAGTCCTATTCTGAACTGACCTACAGTAACTACTTTCTGTTCTGGATAATTTAGATTCTGTAAACAAATAAAATCTTTTTGCTTTAATCTGCACATAAATAATATTTGCAATTATGCAGTTTTTTGTAATTTAACTTAATCAATAATGATTCTATTTTTCTTAATTTTATTTGACATATCTAATTGTCCATACTCATTTTTACCAATGTAATTTAATTTTAATCTTTCAACTTAATCTTGATTAATATTGAACCGAAGATTATAATTAATTTATATTGGTAGAAAAGACAATTTTTTTTACTACATTTTAATATTATTCCATGCTCTTTAAATGATTAAACAAAACTGTTGGATGAATATATACCTCATCGAAATCTCCTCTGACTACATGTACATCACTGGCTAATGTCTTGAGATAATCATAGGACTCTTTTGTACAAAGATTGCCAGTACATAAGATATGCTGT